CGAGCCGTGTGTCACCCGCCAGGACAGCAGGACTCCAGTGACACCCCGGAGAGGAGAGCAGGCAGACACACTCCCCCAGGCCTCCCTATTACAGAGCACTTTCTCCACAGAGACCCTGCTCGGGTATCTGGACCCCTCCCTGCCGAGAGCCAACAGCTTCTCCTGCCATCTCGGAGGACCTGCTGGCTCCTAAAGCTGAAGGGGAACCCTGCGTCTCTGGGTCTCAGCGTGCCTTGCTCCAGCTGGCTGGTGCCCAGATACCCAGACTGGCCAGAGGATGAGACAAGCCCAGCCCAACAGGACCATGGACCAGCCTGGCTGGCAGGGCCCTCGGGAGGGCAGGGCTACTCCGAGCCCCTGCTCCAGGCAGGATCTGCACCGGTGTGTCTGATGCATCTTTAAACACCTCCAGGGCTGGAGACTCCCAGCCTCCCTGGGTATCTGCCAGGGGGAGAAGGCTCCCCTTCATCTCCAGCCTGCATCTCCCCTGCTGCAGCGTAAAACCCTGTGGTTTCTATCCTCTGCGTAACCTCCCTGCAGGGATTTGCAGCCTGGTCTCAAATCCCGCCATAGCTTCTCTTCTCCATGCTCAGTCACCCGTGTCTGCCTGCTTCTCCCTGTATATTGGGCTTCCCAGGCCTCTAGTCACCTTGATCCAGTCCACTTGATCAGTCTCTGCTGGACTCTTTCTCTGGCCTCACTAGCCTCATGCTCGAGGGAAATCTACCTCCCAGCTTAAAAAGGTGAGCTTGGGAACAACAGCTCATAAGCTGGCTAAACACTGAGAACTGAGGATAAACAGACATGGGATTTATAGTCCATTATATTTTACACAACTCTTGACCCTCCTCCCTTTGGAGAGGCCTTGATCTCCCAGCAAGCAGCTTCTTTGCTTCTGCTAACCGTGTACGTGCTACCCCCGGGAATTTCTCTCACCCCTTCCCCTCTGCTGTTTCACTCCACTGTGATCACAGACCCGCGGAGGAACGCCTGGCATTTGAAAATTGGTCTGACTTTATCCCAGCGATGGAGCTGATCCAATAAAAGTCACCACCCTCCAAAATCCCTGCCTCTGGCGTAATTTCTGGACCGCCACGCCTACAACGTCACTCTTATATTGCAATTGGGTCAAGTCTTTCTTGCGACAGGTGCCCCAAGCTGGATTCAGGGCTGCAGGCTCAGCGCCGGGGCCGGACCCCTCCTGACAGCCGTGTGAAGCCTCTCCCCCAGCTTTGCAGCACAGCCAGAGCATGAACAACTCCTGGCCAAGGAACGAACCCCGCAACTGCAGGCGCTTCCCTGGGGGTAGCCGGGAGGGAGCAGAGCCTGCTGAGACAGGCGGGTGTGCTTGGCCGTGCCTTCACATTCCCCGGAGCCGGGCTCCGTCTCTCAGGCCCGCAGGACCTGGCTCTGTCCCAGCCAATTCCTTCAGTACCTGCCTGACCCAGCCCCAGCCCCGGCGACGTACCAGGAAAGGCGAGGGCGCGCTGTGCTCCGAGATGTCGAAGTAGGTGACGTCGACGGGCAAGGTGGCGTGCTGGGGGCAGTATGAGCCGCTGGCCCCGATCTCCGCCGTGAACCCTTCGATGCGGCCCGACGGTGCAAAGCGTCCCTTCAGGATGGACTCCTGCCGGGTGGGGGGGACGCAGGCAGCCCTGAGCCCCTGCAGCCTGAGAGCTGCCCGCTACGAACTCCGGGCCACGGTGGAGACGCCTACGCCAGAGGCTGCCAGCCCCAGATGGCTCTGATGCCCCTGCCAGGAGCCCTCTTGCCCTGCCCCATCCCCAGCCAGGGGCCTGTCAGGTGTCAGAGCCTGCCGGTGCACTTACCTCGAAGTTGCCCAGCAGGGCCCGGCTGATGGAGGTGGCGGCCCAGGCGGTGGGGGAGGGCCGGGCGCCCACGGGCCCCTTCCGGAGGCTGCTGCGGAGGTGTCT